GGGAAGGCCGAGGAGGAAGGAGGAGGAAGGGGATGAGGAGGGCAAGAGCAGGATGATGACGGGGCGGAGGGATATCACCCACTGCGCAGGCTGCTTTCCGCTCGATGCTCACCGAGGCCCACATCTGCATGCGCTTCCACCAGTACCAGCTCCACCCCGCCGCTCTCTGGCGATTGTCCCGTCAAATCAATCCATCAGCTTATTCACTTGGCGTTGAGGAGTTTCTCTGCGCGGGGGAGGCGCAGTTGGATCGCGGTTGCTCCGCGGGGCTGCAAAAGCGGGCGCTCGCAGCAGGGCCATGCGACCAGCAGGTGAAATTCGTGATGTCTGGGCCCGCGCAGCGCGAGATCGACTCTTTGTTGCAGAGGGGCTCCGCCACCAGCCTCGACGTGGAACGAACGCATTTTCTGGGCAAGCAGAGCGAGGGGAGACGGGGCATTCGCGTTACGACGGTCGGCCGCGCCAGCAGGAACTCCATACTCAGGGCGTGCAGGGCGGAGAGGGGCAAGCACGTGACGCGCGCCATCAAAGTCCGCAAGCAGTTCCTGAAAGACAAGTTCGTCAACGCCCAGGCGCTGGCCGTGCAGATGCGCCCGGACTTGTTCGCCCGGGGCCGCGGTTGCTTGCGGTGGGAGGAAGGAGTTTCTGTTAAACAAATGAAGAAGTTCACGTCGAGCGGAGACCAACGCAAGCTCAATCAGTTCATTGTTGACAACGGCTTGGTGGTGAAGGCCGCGAGCATTCGCCAGCGCGCGAAGGAGTTCTTCCGTGCGGGCCCGCGGCCGCTTCCCGTCACCAATGCCGATTGGCTGCAGTGGCGCGAAAAAGACGAGGACCTTTTCAAGGAGAAGTTGCGCACGGCCATTGCCGACCGTCGGGTTCTTTCTAGCGGGGTGCGCCAGGGCGCGCCGCTGCCGCCCACCCCCCGCCTCCAGCCAGTCCCGCCCGCTCAGTCGTCCGCCACCTGGGTGGCGAAGCTACGGCAGGAAAAGGCAGGCATTTTTTGCGTGCGCACGAGCACTGGGCCCGTTGCGATTTTCAGTGCTTTTCTCCGGGGCAGGGTCTGGGCAATGGCGCTGGCCCCGGACCTGGAAGCCGAGGCGCGTTTTACATGCGCATTGAAGTTCCAGCGCCCTTTTTGCGAGTTGTTTAAGCCAATCGAAGACCTCATTGCGGGGCAGCCTCGTTTCCAGACAGAGTGTGCCGTCTTTAAGAACGCTTTCGCTGCGACTCCTCACCAGCAGGGGGGCTTGCGACTCGCGTTGACTGGTGCTTGGCCAGTTGACCTGAGGCCGACGCCCCCGCGTCGCAAGCAGGAAGATTCGGGGGAGTCGGAATCCGACCACGGCACGGAGCGCGGCGATGAATCCGACGCCGAGTGTCTCGTATCAGGCGTCGATTCCCAGCTCGACGCTGCCCTGGATGAGGCGTCCTCGGAGGAGGTCGGCGGGGCGGCGGAGCCTCCCGACGCCGAAGGCCGCGCTGATGCCGAGGGCGCCGCGAGGGCGCCGCGGGGGTCGCACGTCATTGAAGAATTGGGACACTTCACCCTGACGCAGAATCCAGACCCTCGCTACCTCGATTGCAAGATGATCATGAAAAAGGGCCTCGTTGGCGTGCTTGGCTCCAAGCTGCGCAGTAAGACGATCAATATTGCACGCTTGATGGGCATCTGCCCGCTTGGGGGCATCCCGTCGCAACGCACTTGGTGCTGCGGGCGTGGGCACTCTGGCGGTCCAAGAGGGAGGGCTTTTTGTCGAATCCCATGCGCCGTCGCTGGCACGAGCGCGAAGTAGCGCGGCTCAAAGCAGACGTGCTCAAGTTGGGAGATGGCGAGCGTTCAACTGCCAACAAGGCAGCGGATGCTCAGATCAAGACGTGGTGCCCTGACGCCTTGCGAGCTTAGAGCAGGTCGCTGCGCCTCCTCGCTCTCCTTGATTTTCTCATTGATGCGGCTACTAGTGGCGCGCATTTTTGAACCGCATTTGGCGGGCTTTGAGCTTCCCTCCTCCCCTCCTCCTCCGCCTCCTCCCTCCTCCCCCCCTCCTCCTTTGAGCCCGTTCGCAGCAAAAAAGGGCGGATGCGGGCGGCAGCACTGGGGCCTTCGGTGGAGCTCCCTATGGGGCCACGAAACGTGTGAGGGGTGATGTTGATGATGACAGCGGCTCTGATGATGATGATGATGATGGTGATGACGATGATGGTGATGATGATGGTGGTGGGTCGGTTGCCTCGTTTGCCATGTGGTAGTGTGTTCGGGATGATGGCCGGTTGTTCAGTGTCATCGAACCCCCTTCCCTCTCGCACGTCTCCCCAAGGCGCGAGGGGCCCGCAGGGTTGCCAGCGCAATCGTTGTCAAGGTTTCGATCGGCCCTTGCTGCCAGGGGGGCGGTGGAGGAGGAGTAGGAGGGAGAGGGGGAGGCAAATGCAGAACAGTGCTCCATCCGTCGGCGCTCCTCCTGACGGAACGCCCCGGACGCCCCGGCAGAGGAGGGGGGGCGCCCCGCTGGTTTGGTCCCACCTCCTCTCCCTCCTCCTCCTCCGCCCCCGCCTCCGCCCCTCCTTCCCCCCCCCCTCCCCCCCCCCTTCCTCCTCCCTCTGGGAGTGGGGCGGGCGGGCAAATATATTCCCCAAGCAGTGCACAATCCGTCCATTGGCACGGGGCCGCACAATGCGATTTATTGATCGCATCCATCCGTGCTCCTGCTGCAAACAAAAAATGCGCCACGCAGATGGCGCCACATATGTTGCACCACATAGGTCCCTGAGAAATTATGTGCGGGGCCCGCGCTGGCTAGCATATATTTGTTCCCCAGGAGAGTTCGGCGGGCATCCCGGGAGACGTTGCAACGAGCTGGACCTCCGTCATAAGTGTGGCTCACTGGCGCTATTCGCCACTATTTCCATGTTTTTTTTATTTTGGCGCCGACAAGCACTATTTTTAACAAGACGTATTGCTTCTGAGCAAATAGTGGAAACAAGCGAATATCCATGCGTCACCCGTGTTTAGCTCGTCCATGGAGGCCGCGCGCTTCCACGACGCCGTGGTCATGGGCAAGGGCGATCTCCGCTGTGGTCCCAGAAATTTCCTGACGTTCGCCGGCGGCGTGGAGGACGCGTGCGCCGCCAGGCTGTCGCAGTGGCGGGACTCTTCCGCGAGCCAGGGCTTGCGCTTCGATCGCATCTACATCAAGTTGCCGAAGCAGGATATACTGCGGAAGCGCTATGGCGTTCCCTTTTCACGTATCTTTGGACGACCACGGTCGCGACGTCGGCAAAGACTTGACAGGCCTGAAGTCATTCGTAGCAATTGGATCCATCGGCGTCGCGCGCGCAGAGGGCCTTCGCCCCCCAGCGCCCGCGGCGGCGCTCTTCGAGGAGTCGCCGCTTGGAGCGGGACCCCGCAGGTGGGAACTCGAGGCGGACGCGTGGGAGGGGGTGCACTCCAGCCTGGAGTTGCCGCTGCCCCCCTGCCCGCGGCGCTGCCGAGTGCAGCTGCACGCATTCGTCGCGCCGTGGGACCGGAGAGCCGTTTCCCCCTTGCTTGAGGGCGGGGTTTACAGCCTCGCGATCTGCGGCGCGCAACGCAGGCGAGCGGTGGCGTTGCGGCGGGACCAGGTGCAGTGCATCCTCAGCTGCCGTGCTGGCTGGCCGTGGCTCATCGCGAAGGCGTTCGTGGTGGGCTCGGTGCCCCCGGCGGTGGACTACCGCGTCTCGGGGGTCGCCGGCGCGCCTCTGGCGCCAGGATCGGCCAAGAGGCCCCGCCCTGCCTGAGCGGCCTGGCGCTTTTAGCGGGAGGAAGGAGGGAGGAGGAGGGGGGGGATGGGGGGGGGGAGGAGGAGGAGGAGGAGGAGGGGGAGGAGGATGAGGAGGAGAGGAGCACGAGGAGGAGGAGGGGGGGGCAGGAGGAGGAGGAGGAGGAGGAGGAGGAGGGAGGAGGACGAATAGAGGAGGAGGGAGGGAGGAGAAGGAGGGGGAGGGGGAGGAGGGGGGGAGGGGAGGAGGAGGAGGGGGAGGGAGGAGGACGGGGAGGACGAGGAGGAGGGGGGGGAGGGGGAGGAGGGGGAGGAGGAGGGGGAGGAGGGGGAAAGGAAGAGGAGGGGGGGGGAGGGGGGGGGGGGGGGGGCGGCGGGCGGCCATGGCGGCACGGGCGGCCACAGTGGAGATCCCGCGCGGCACCCCTGCAGGCGCACCCCTCGCTGGGGGGGGAGGGGCAGCAACTTCCTCCTCCTTTTTCTCCCTTGTCGTCCTCGCCGCCGCCGTCGTCGTCGTCGTGCGGTCTGGGGGAGGCGGAGGAGTGTGGAGTTCGAGTATTGGAGTGGCGTGTGGTGTGGGTTGTTGTGCGCGTGTGCACTGGAGGAGGAGTCCTCGCCCTCGCCCTCCTCCTCCCGGTCTCGTCGTCGTCGTCGTCGTGCTCTCTGGGGGGCGCGCGCGCCGCCCCGCGCCCCGCGCCTCCGCCGGCGCGGCCTGCTCGTCGTCGTCGTCGTCGCCGCCGCCGCGCCGCCGCCGCCGCCGTCGTCGTCGTCGTCGCGGTCCTGGGGGAGGCGGGGGAGTGGAGGAGTTCGGGTATTAGGAGCGGCGTGTGCGTGTTGCGCGTGCGCGTGCGTTGTGTGCACTGGAGGAGGGAGTCCTCGCCCTCGCCCTCCTCGCCGTGCTGCTCCGTGCTGCTCCGTACTGCTCCCCCGTACTGCTCCGCGCTGCCCCCCCCCGCGCCGCCGCCGCCGCCGCCGTTGCGCCGCCGCCCGCCGCCGTTGCGTCGCCGCCGCCGCCGTTGCGACGCCGCCGCCGCCGTTGCGACGCCGCCGCCGCCGTTGCGACGCCGCCGCCGCCGTTGCGACGCCGCCGCCGCTGCCGTTACGACGCCGCCACCGCCGCCGCCCTTACGACGCCGCCGCCGCCGCCGCCGCCGCCGCCTGCTTGGCTCAAATGTTCGTTCCTGAGCTCTTGCCCGTGTCGGACCACTCGGCTACTGTGAACTTCCCCATCGCGCCCTGGCGCAGGCAGACCAGCAGGATCATGGGCGAGGATCCGGCTTCTGTGCAGGCGCGCCTCGACCGGATTCGGCAGGGCTTCACCTACCCGCGCGCGGTGTCCAGGGATGACGCCCGCTCGCGATTGGAGGACCGGCGCAACCTGGACCTGCCCGCGAGCGAGGAGATGGTGGACCTCTTCATCGCCCTGTCCAGCGCGGGCCCTGCCACGAGAGTGACTCCGAAAATGATGAAGCGAATGAAGGCCAGGCACGATTTGCAACGAGTTCACGGGCCTGCCCCCACTACCGCTTTCACGGGCTTTGCCCCCCGACAGGGGGGCGGGGGGGGGCCAGGGCCGTTGCGACGGTTCTGTCTCTGCGACAAACACAGCCGTTACGACGGCTGTGTTTTTCGAGACACACCGCGGGCCTGATTACCCAACTATGGCGTGCAACGCCCGTTGCAAGTCGTGCAAGGAGCGGATCGTGCTGACGGTCGCCGTGGAGACGAACTACTGGTTGGTCCCGAAGGGGAACCTGAGCGCTTCAGATCTCGCGAGCGTCGGGCCGTGCGTTGTTGCCCCCGCTTCCATTCCGGCGCAGTTCTCGAACATGGCCCAGGGCCACCACGTGATCGACCAGGTCGTCCCTCGCGAGCGCCTTGGCAGATTCGCATTGCGACAGATTCGCATTGCGACAGCTTTGGAGAGGCAGGTTGCGACGAATCCTGGGGCGGCGGCGCTGCCGGACGCTCGCCCGCCGAGCGCAGGCGGAGCGCCTCCGCAGGCGGTCGCGGCGACCGGGGGGGCGGCGGCGGCAGCGGCGGCGACAGCGGCGGCGCCGCCCGCGGACGCGGCCCCCGCAGGGGCACCTCCGGCGGCGGCGCCCAGCAGCGCGGCGGGGGCGGCCCCGGCAGCATCGGAGGCGCCTAGCGGCGCGGGGGCCGGCCGCCCGAAGGCCGCGCGCGCCGTCAGCCGTCAGCCGTCCGCGGCGTCGGAGCCCAGCGAGGACGAGGGCAGGGTTGCCGCGACGGCGAAAAGCCGGGCTGTCGCCGCAGTGGAGGCGGGGAAGTATTGGTCTCCAAACAAAGGCTCCTCGGACAACGCGGAGTTCTGGGTTCGCACCGCAACGGAGCACTTGCTCGCGGGCGACAGGCTTGCGACGAGCATCCCGGAGCCTTTCGCGCAGTTCTTCAAGGACGTGACGGTTGCCTTGATGAAGAAACGGCGCTTGGGCACCCTGCGGGAGTTCACGGGCCACTCCGAGCGCGTCCACGCGAGGTACCCAGACTTCTTGCCGCCCTTCGCGAGGGGCCCCATGAAGCTCAGCCAGTGGCAGTCCGACCCGTCCATGCCGCAAGATGAGGCGGTGCCGTTCACGTACGCGGATAGGTTCTACTCGTGCGAGCTGTACCTGGAGTTCGTGGAGTCGAGCTTCCGCGCGAAGCTCGACGGCCTCCGGGCGCAGACCGAGTTGGACGACCCGCAGCGTTACGACGCCGCGCGGGCGCTTTGCGCTGAGGCGCCGACGGCAGAGAGCAAGGCCGAGCTGGAAGCGGCAATGACGATCTTCGGCAGGGCCGCGGACACGGAGAAGGTCGCGCACTTGCTTGCCGATGACCACCTCAAAGTCCTGCAGGCGTGGTCCCCCGGAGACGCCCGGTTGGCGCTGGAGCCTCTCGCGAAGGACACGGGGCTTCTGAATGGGACGCCCTCCCAGGAGGTCGCAAGAGCGCTGGTCGCGCTGCCCCGCCACGTATCCGCGGTGGCTGCAGTGCGGGACCCGGTCGTGAAGGGCGTGCTGGAGGAGTACGCGCAGGTGACCACCCGGGGGCAGGTCGAGGACGGCTTCGTGGAGCTCGCGCAGGCCGTGGCCATGGAGGTTCTGACGTGGAAGTGCGGCCTGACGGGCACGCAAACGGAGTTCGACGCTTTCGAGGTGGGCACCGACCTGCTGTCCGTCGGCAAGGTGGTTTCGCAGTGCCAGGCCAGGTGGGCAATGCATATATATACACATGTGTGCATATACATTTATATATATATATATGTATGTATATGCGTGTGTATGTTTATATCTGTATAATGATAATTGTATTCGTATATACATATCTACATGTATACATATTTGCTATATATATGTGTGATATATATATATATATATGTATATGTTGTGTTGCGTACGTTGGCAGGCTCTGGCGCGCCTGCCAGGCAGCCCAGCTCTCGCCGCAAAGCTCGCCAAGACGGGGAATGCCCCGCGCATGGCTTCGATCGTGAGCCTTGTGGAGCACGCTAAGAAGGCCGACGACGCGTCCGAGACGCCTCCCACCGTGGGCTACGCCGCGCCGAAGTCGAAGGCGAAGGCGAAGGCGAAGGCTGCGGCGGGACCGGGGGCGAAGGCGGCGCCCGAGGGCACTGCGGCGGTCGCGGAGGCGTCTGCGGACGCGGCGGCGCCCGCGGAGCCGGGCGGCGCGGCCGCCTTGCAGCGCCCGCGGGTGCGGAGGCGGCTGCCGCGAGCGCCGCGACGGCGCGGAGTGCGCCGGTGTGTTGTTTTTGGCCTGCGCGGCCGGAGGAGGCATGCGATGGGGGGCGGTCGATGAGGGCGGAGGCCGCTCCGTTCGATGTGGGGGACACGGTCACGGTGGACCATAAGAAATTGATCTACCGGGGCTTCATTTTTTGACTTTGTATTTGGTTTCGGGTTTTTTGTTTTTTGTTTTTTTGTGGTTTTTTTTGTTTTGTTTTTGTGTATTGTGTGTCATTTTTTTTTATGGTTTTTTGTTTTTTGTTTTTTTTTTTTTCACAGGCAAGTGCTTTGGTGTGCAAGAGTTGCACGGTGAAGATGCTGGAGGGGGTTTTAGCGTTGGACAGGAGGAGGAGCACAAGTTCGGCTTCGAGAAGCTGACACAAGTTGTCGATCCAGCCGGCGGGCAGGCGAGCGGGCAGTCGCCTGAGACGGCGCCCGCTGGCGCGGTGAAGCGCAAGGATGTGGGGGGCGGCGAGAGCGGCGAGGGCGAGGCGAACCAGAAGAAACAGAAGTGCTTGGAGGACTTGTTCATGGGCGGTGACGGCGGCAAGTGAGCGACAGCCGCGGCTCCAGCGAGGCGCCCAGGAGCATCCATTAAACAGTACTCTACCCCACGAGAACAATAACACAATATCGGAACGTGCGCCGGCGCCTCGCTTAGACATGCTATTTTGGCCCCTTCGAGCGCGGCGGCGCGCCTCGAAGGCGGAGAGGCCCCCGTCGTAACGGGGGCGTTTTTGACGCTTTTCGGCCATCGTCGCGGGGCATGGGCTTCCCGACGAGAGCTCCCCTTCGAGCGCGGCGGCGCGCCTCGAAGGCGGAGAGGCCCCCGTCGTAACGGGGGCGTTTTTGACGCTTTTCGGCCATCGTCGCGGGGCATGGGCTTCCCGACGAGAGCTCGCTGCCATCGGCGGGGCGAGCTTCCCCCCTTTTCTTTCTTTATGCTACTTATCCTCCCTACTCCCCCCCGTGCTTCTCCAGCTCCTGCCCCCGTTCGATCGTCCTCCAGCTCGTCGTCGTCGCCGTCGCCGTCGTCTCCCCCCCCTGCTCCCACCGCAGCATGCGCACTTGACGCAGTCTCAGCGAATTGCGACCCGTGTGGAAATCATCACCGCGCATCTTGGGCTGAGATTTCAGACCGGCACGCGTCCGTTACGACGGACAGGCCCCCCGCCGTCGAGGTGCTTTCTACGAGGGGGAAGAGGGGGGGGGAGGGTCGGGGGAGGAGGAGGAGGAGGAGGAGGAGGAGAGGAGAGGAGAGGAGGAAAGGGGGAGGAAGTGGGAGGGAGAGGGGGGGAAGGGGAAGGGCCGGAGCAAGAGGGGGAGGGGGAGGATGACGGGGGCGGCGTTTTTTTTTGAGGCCGTTTTGTTTTTTTTTTGGAAGCCGTGGGGGCCGTGGGGGCCCCGAGGGGCTCGTAGGGGCTGATGTACGCCTGGCGCCCCCAGCGGGGCTTGAGGGAGGCGCCCGCCTCCTCCTCCTCTTCCTCCTCCTCCTCCGCCGCCGCCGCCTCTCCCCCGCCTCCTCCTCCCCCCTCCTCCGTGGCTATTTTGGTTCAAGCCTAGTCTCGGGTTCAAGCCTGGGCTGCCCTGGGCTGCGGCCCGAGCCCAGGCTGTTCGCGCCGTTTAGGTTCAAAAATTGGGGGGTCTCCCACCCTCCCTCCCTTTTGGGTTTCCCCCCCCCCTCTCCTTTTTTTTGCGTCTCCCCACCCTCCTGGACCCGAAGCCCCCCTTCCTCCCCCCTGCGGCGGTGCCCTCCTGCCCCCCCCCCCCCAGTCCCGAGTGCAGCGCCTGGGAGGTCTGCGCCGCGTCGCACCTCCCCTGGCGCGCCCGCGGGGCGGGGGGGCGACGGGGGGGCAAGGGTCCGAGGGTCCGACGACGACGACGACGACGACGACGACGACGACGACGACGACGACGACGACGACGACGGCGACGGCGACGGCGACGGCGACGGCGAGCGACGGCGAGCGACGGCGACGGCGACGGCGACGGCGACGGCGAGCGACGGCGACGGCGACGGCGACGGCGACGGCGAGCGACGGCGACGGCGACGGCGAGCGGGAAGAGCGACGTTCCACCCAAGCCGTGCTCCGTAGTCGTCCTGGGTGCCCAACTACTGCCATGCCCCTTGCTTCGCACAAGGGCGTGGTCCTTTGGCTCGCACAATGAGGCGCTATTTCGTACTATTGAGCTTTATTTGCAGCGGCCGCGCTCGAGCAAAGGCTTCCATGCATTTGGATTCTAAGTCTAGGGCGCCTCTTGGACCACGTTGGAGTTTTTTGGGCTTGTCTCTGGGGCCTCCTGTGGGCCTCGTGGGCCGTCTTGGAGTGGTCTCGGGGCCTCGTGGATGGCCTTCAACGCCGCGAAGGCTAACAAACTGGATATGCTGAGAATGTACGTTGTCCCAAGGGAATTTCAAGATTTTGGTTTCTTGGGGGCTTCCTGGGAGGTCTCTTGGACGCTTCGTGGGGTGTCTTGGCGGCCTTTTGGGCCGTTTTGAGCTTATCTTGGGCGTCTTGGAAGGATCTTTCGGCGACTTGTGGTTCTCGTGGACCGTCTTGGCGGCTTCTTCGGAGGCGTCACGTGCTGTCGTGCAGCTCAAGAGCGAGCCCAGGGAACCCAGACCTCCCCCGGGTGAGTTCGGTCTGGGGCCACCCGGGGCGGGGGGGGGTCAAAATTCTGGTTTGGGGTCTTTGGGGGGCGATTATAAGGGGGGAACAATCTCACGCGCCTGGAGACCCACAAGGGGTCGTTGGATTGCCGACCCTTCGATGCTCCTCGAGGGTGTTCGGCTCAACGCCGATCGGATTCTCGACCCGCGGCATGGTCGACCCCCGAGCGTTGACCCCGACGAGGCCCAGAGGCGACGCCAAAGCCACGCAGGCTCCTCCCCAAATCCCCGTGGGAGCGTTCCGCGCGCGCGCGCCGGCGCAGGCGAAGGGCAGCGCGCGCCGCCGCCCTCGTCGAGGCCGTCGTCGCTGGCGTCCTCGTCCTTGTCGACGTCGGCGCCGACGTCGGCGCCGACGTCGTCGACAGCGTCGTCGACGGGGCCGTCGTCGACGACGCCGCCCCCGTCGTTGCCGACGTCGTCGGCGCCCTCTGCCTATAGGGACCGTCAAAAGGTACCGATATCGCTACTCCCCGGACCTCTCCTGGGGCGCGTTCTGACCAGGATTCCGAGGCGAATTTGGCGGTGGTGACGAGGGCCTCCGAGGAGGCCCAAAAAGGGGAAACGAATGAAGGGTAGCAGTATCGGTACCTTCTCTTCTGATTGTCGGGGACTGCCTCGGCGACGGCGCCGCCGGCGTTGTCGTCGACGTCTACGTCGACGTCGTCGACGCCGTCGGCGACAGTCGTCACAGCCCAGCCGTGAGGATACCTGCGCGGGGCCCTGTCCGCGGCGGCCTGCGAGGAGTACTTCGCGCGGATCCGCGACGGCACGAGCTGGCAGCAGCCCGAGGCCGCTCCTTTAACCCCCTCTCGAGGGGTTCGTGGAGGAAGGGTTGCCCCAAGAAGTGAGTCTCTGAGCGATTCGACATACATCGAAAAACTCGGCGGTGAGAGAGGGGTGGAAGTGAGAAGCAGAAGGCCTTCTCAGAAGCTGGCGGGACTTCTCAAAGCCCTCGCGCCTTCTGAATTGTTTTCTGTGTTGCCGGGGAGGGCTGCGAACTTCGAACACCTTTCAGAAGGCCAGGGGACTTCCGAACCTTCTGAGAAGGCCTGCCTCTTCTTACTTCCCCCCGGGCTCGCCGCCGAGAAAGGAGGGGATAAGGAAGTTAGGACATAGTAAAATTGCATTGACGTAGTTTCTCGTAGCTCCGCTCGGATTTCTTGGATCGGCGTTGGGCCCCCCTGGCAGCCACTCCGGCGCTGTCTTCTGGCGCACTCTGCGCGCCGGGGGCCCGGCGCCGATCCAAGACATCCACGCGGCCTCCGGAAGTCTACAGCGGAGGCCCATGCCAAGAAGCACCCTGCTTGCCTCCAGGGTGCCCTGGGTTTCTTGGGTTTCGATTTTTGTTGCGATGGGAAGCGTGACGTTTCCCACACCAAAAATCAATGGACGTCCTGGGGTCGCAGGGTTGGGTTTTTTGTGGAAGGTTTTTTGTGGACTAGCCTCCACTGTATGCAGTTTTCCCTCCCTCTAATGGGGAGATGGAGAGAGAGAGAGAGAGAGAGGATCAACGGAGTCCTGCCGTGTGGTGCCGTTTTCGGCACGTTGGCGCCTCTCGTCGGCTCCGGGAGGCGCCGCGAGAAAATCTCGTGCGGCGCTGGCTGGTTTACCGCCCCCGTTCTTTTGACCCCCCCCCTCTTTTCGGAGGCCTAGGGGTGGGCACCAACACCAGGGCTGGACCTCAACGGTGTTGTGTTCATCTCGTGGGTCGTTTGTGTTGTTCGTTTTGTTTTGCATTCAAAGCGATACGAAGTCAAACTAAGGAAGAACGAACACACAAAGCGAAAACGGAAAACACCGTCCAGGTTCAGCCCTGACCAACACCAAGATCGGCGGTGTGTCTCAACCAGGGAAATATGATCCCGATCTCGATGATGGTGGTAATGTTCGGGCTCCCCAGGTTGCGGAAGAATTGCCACAGACACACTAAATTCTAGGATCGCCCTCCCCTAGTGGACGCACCTCCCTGTTTTGGTGTATGTTTTCATCTCTAGGCCTCCAATCTTTCGTCCGACCCGATAGTTGAGAGGGACAACGAGTAGCAATGACGCGCCAGCGTTGGGGGGGGGGGGCGTGGGCGTGGCTGGCGCCTGCAGCCTCGAGGGGTCTTCGTCGTGGTCGCCCTCGGTCGTTTTCGTCGGTTCAGCGGATCGGCCTCCTCCTCCTTCCGCCTGCCCTCCTCCCTCCCTCGTCCCTCCTCCTCCGTCCTCCTCCCGCCCTCCTCCCCCCTCCTCCTACCCTCCCCCCTCCTCCTGCACACTCCTGCCCTCCCCCCTCCCTCCTCGGCCGCCCTTTCCCCTCCTCCTGCCTCCCTCCTCCCTCCCCCCTCCTCCCCTCTCCTCCTCCTGCCCTTCTCCCTCCCTCCCTCCCCCATCCGCCGCCAGCTTCTCCTCCCCCTCCTCCCCATCCCTGCTTCCCTCCTCGAGGGAGAAGCAGGGAGAGCGGCAGCAGGAAGAGGGGAGGGACGTTTTTTTTTCCGTGTGTGTGTGTGTGTGTTATTTGGAGTTGTCTTGCTTCGGGGTTTTTCCTCCTCCTCTCCTCCTCCTCCTCCTCCTCCCTCCTCCTCCTCCCTCCCCTCCTCTTCTCCTCCTCTCCTCCTCCTCCTCCTTCTCCTCCTCCTCTCCTCCTCCTCCTCCTCCTGCTCCTCCTCCTTCTCCTCCTCCTCCTCCTCTTGTTTCCGGTGCGTGCGTGCGCGCGCGCGCGCGTGTGTGTGTGTGTGTGTGTGTGTGTGTGTGTGTTTGTGTGTGTATTGCTTAGGGATTTCTCGCTTCTGGGTGATTCCCAGCAGCTGCGCCTCGTCGACGGCGTTCTGGGGGTGCCCGGGATCATCCCAAGCGGCCGCTGGAGGCACGAGTAATGTCACGAGAGCCAGGTTTCCAGCATGGAAGATTTTGAGGCTTTCTGTGGCTTCGGCCTCGGGAAGGATGGAGGAGGAGGGGGAGGAGGAGGAGGAGCAGGAGGAGGAGGAGGACCAGTGTAAACCCAACAGTGATCAACGATGTTGGAATAAACCATCCCTCCAAGCTCCCTTTTTGTATCGGACCCTACAACGGTTTATTTCCCCAGCGGGAACTGCCTCGATTGAAGACAGCCGTTTGACGACCCTGAAGCATGCCAAATCATTGTTTTCGGGATTCCAGCGCCACGGATCAACCGAATTGTTGCGCCTTGACGATCCAGAATTTTGCCAGAGCGTCATTCTTGGGACTTCAACGCCGTGAATCAATGTATTTGTTGCACCGTCATAATTCCTGGTACGTTGATCATGGGAACCCGTGAAACTTTTCTGCAAATTCTGAAAACGAATGTGCGCGGCGCAAAGGCGAGAGCCACGTTTTGAAAAGGAATCGCTTTCATTCCATGAAGCTTTTCCAAATGCTTGAAACGAATGCGCGCGACGCGAAGGCAAGAGCCACATTGTGAAAACGGGTGGCCCTCAATCCGTGAAACGCTTGCAAATGTTTGAAACGAATGTGCGCGGCGCTAAGGCGGCAGCCACATTAAAAAAACGGGTCGCCCTCAATCCGTGAAAGTCTTGTAATTGTTTGAAACGATTTTGAAAACGACCCGCCCGCAATCCGTGAAGCTCTTGCAAGTGTTCAAAACGAATGCGCGCGGCGCTAAGGCGAGAGCCACATGTTGAAAATGACCCGCCCTCCATCTGTGAAGCTGTTGTTCATTTTTCAGCTTCAGGGTCATAAATGATGAGGAAGCCTCAGGCGAAACGCCCAGCCTGCCCTAAAAACTGGCCTCGGGGTGCGACAGGGAGAAGTCATTGATAAGGAAACGGAATGGAGGAGGTGGAGGAGGAAGAGATTGAGGAGATTGAGGAGGAGGAGGAGGAAGAGATGTAGGAGGAGGAGGAGGAGGAGGAGAAAGGGAGGAGGAGCACGAGGAGAGAGAAGGGTGAGGGGCAACCATCTAATGTCGTCACAGGCATAGCTTCTAATCGTCCAGCTTCGAGGTCGGCACCGTGCTGGGGCGCCGGCGGCCGCGCCGTTTCGCCCTCCAGAGCCCGCCTCCAGAGAGAGGGGAGCGGCAGCCCTCGCCTTTGCCCCAGGGGCCGATGGGGCCGATGCCGCGGAAGACGTGCTGGATGGTCACCGGGGGCTGCTCCTGCCGGTACCGCTACGGCGGCGTCGAGGCGGGCGGGAAGGGAGGGTCCGTCCAGGTCTCCTAGACCCAGAGGAGGAAAAAGGCACCCATGCCCCTACCCTTTCCTCGTTTGCCCCTTTTTGGGCCTCCTCGGAGGCCCTCGTCGCGACCATCGGATTCGCCTCGGAATCCTGGTCAGGATGCACCCCGGGAGAGGTCCACGGAGCAGCGGTATCGGTACATTGTGGTCTCCCCATAAATGGGGTCGGAGCAGATGGGGTCGGAGGATAGAGCCGCATCGCCGATGCATCGGCGATGCGTCGGCGATGCGGCTCGATATGGGGCTCCATCTTCTCCACACCGACGTCGCCGATGCATCGCCGACGTCGCCAGTGTATCGCCGATGCAACGCCGATCGGCGATGCGGCGCGATGCTCCGACCCCATCTACGGGGACCCCATTTTGGAGGCCTCTAGTCAGAGGAGGAACATGCACCGATGCCGCTGCTCGGTGGGTGGATGATACCAAACATCGGCCACTCGCAGAGCGGGGTAGGGGGAGGAAGGAAGGGGAAGGCGTCTGAGAAGCATCCCTGCTTATCAGACGGCGCTTGCCTCGTCTGTCAATGCGAGGCTGGCGGCGTCTGAGAAACAGTCTCCTTTTAAGAAGCCCTTCCCCCTCCCCCTGCCCTCCTCTGCGCGCCGCCAGCCGATGCCGCTGCTCGGTGGGTGGATGATATCAAACACGGTGTGCTGACAACTGCTGGTTGCGGCAATTGGACGCACATTGTTTCGGATGTATTTCCTGGGAGGTCAACATTCTGGTCCGACATCGGGCTTAATCCCGTTGAATTTGGCTTAATCTTGCTCAATGCGGCTTAATATGTTTCCTGGCCGCCATGTGCGCCCACGGGTCGTTCTCCTGGAGGCCGTCTTTGAATAGGTGGCCGACCGGGGAACTTGGCACACGGGTCCGAGGCTTCAGGGCCGAAATACGATGAGCATCCGCGGATGCAGCTACTGCAGGAGCGACCGGAAGTTGCGCGAAAGTAAGTTCGAGGGAAAGTGCGTTTGAGTCGAAAGGTTTTGTTTGGGGACCATGCCGATACCCACACGCACGCAGAGCGGCTGCCACGGCGACCCCAGAAGAGGCGGACTGTTGATGTCGCAGGTCTCAGGCGCACAACATGTAGAGATGATCGCGTCCCGTTGCGTCGTACAGCAGCCTGTGGTAACAATTGATGCACTGGAGACTGAGGAGGAGGAGGAGGAGGAGGAGGAGGAGGAGGAGGAAGGTGGTTACGTGCACCGTGCAAGGACACATCGATGTCTGGAGACTGGGTGGGCGGCGCCCCGGCGCCCACTCCTGACCCCGCGCGCGCCCGCCCTCATGGACGAATCGACAGTCGGCTCGCCTCGCCTTCTCCTTTATCAGACTCACCCACTCGCAGACGGGGGTGGGGGGGGGGGGGGTAGGGGGTAGGGCTTCTCGGAAGCACCCCTGCTTCTGAGAGGGCGTGGGCTGCCTCTGTCGATGCATGGCCAGCGCCTTCCAAGGAGTACCCTCCTTCTGAGGAGCCTTCCCCCCCTCCTCTACCCACTTTCTGCGCCCCGCCGGCAGACTCCCTCGGGCACTGAGAAGAACTCATGACGGAGGGGTTCCAGTAGTTCTCCCCTCGTAGGGCCCAGGCACGTCGAGCATCGATTTGAGATGAAGACGGTCCCGGGGAAGAGGTCCAGACCTCCTGGTGGTCCTCGTCATGAAGACCATGAGGTCGTGGGTCTGGGTTGCGCGCCTCACCACTTGCTTCGCAAGTGTTTCCTGCGCGTCTCCTGTTCCCTCCTCCCGCCCCACGCCCGTCCATGCTCAGTCCATCCGTCTCCCTCATCTCAGCTCATCTCATCTCATCTCATCTCATCTCCGCTCCTTCTCTCGTTTCCCCTCAGACCTGCGGAGGGCCTGTGAGCCAGCACAGGCTGGCGGAGGGAGCGTGGATTTCGCTCACCAGGGTTCATACCGTCTCGCCTGGATCATTCTGAACCTGGGTTTCAATGTTCTGGGAGTATTGACTGGGGTTCATAATGTTCCCCCCAGGAACATTATAAACCCTGGTTTATAATGTTCTGGCGGTATCGACCCCAAAAACATATGAACCATGGGTTCACAATGTCCTGGGAATCTTGACAGGAGTTTATATTGTCCCGGGAATATTGAACCCCGTTTCCGTCATCCCGGAATGATAATGATTTTCATTTCCCCCCCAATCCCCGTGTTCCCCATCAGGTTATTCATGTCGCCATATGGACCCCGGCTTTTTATCTCCAGGAGATAATAAATCCGCACGTGGGGGGCGCCGTTTGAGAGTACGTTCCACATTGAAGATAATGATTCGGCCGGGGGGGTCTGAGCCCGATCCATTCACAGGAAAATAATCCATAGGGTAGCATCTGAAGATAATGCACATGGGTTTTCATCTTTAGATAGTAAGCTTTGTGTAATAGCTGCTCCTTGCAGTGTCCAACCCTTCCCTTCTTTCTCCCTCCTCCCCCCTTCCCTCTTCCCTCCCGTCTGTGGGGTGCCGGGGGACGTGCGTGTGCGACTGGCTTCCACTGTTGGGCCCTCGGGGGAGGCCTTCTCCCTGGCACGCCGGGGTCGGGACGCGACGGCGGGGAGCGGAGCTGGGCCGCGGGGTGTGGGCCTCTCTCGAGGGCTTCTGGGGTCCCGAGCCGCCGCGCCAGGGCGTTCGGTCTGGAGGAGGATGAGCTCCCAGACGTGGCCGCCTTGAGTGCGAGCCTCCTCGGGCGCGCTGCGGACGCCGAGGACTTTGAGTAGGCCTCTGCCTGGAAGGCCTCCGACTCGGGGCTTGACTGGCCCCCCCCGACCTGGCTTCGGGTCGCTGCCTCATCTCATCTCATCCCTCCCTCCCTCCCCTCCCTCCCTCCTCCAGGTGCCCCCCATGGAGTTCCCGGACTGGATGACCGAGCTCATGGGGGTGGCCCGGCGCTGAGCGCAGCTGGCGGCGACGCGGACGGGGCGGCGAGGGCGAGGAGGTGGATGACGAGGACCAGGACGAGGAGTCGGAGGAGGAGCAGGCCGACTGGAGGTTGAGTGCCTCTGTCGGTTGTACATGGGCGGGACTTGGCTGACAGGGCTCCACGTCTCGTCGCCCAGAAGGCCCAGTGTGACGTTGGGTGGGTTGTGGGACGGGGTCGCCCAGAGAATCTCTCGCCAGGTCTGGGGCTGACCCGGGAAAGGCTGTGGGGGCATGGGCCAGGCGGCCCGTGCAGAGGGATTCAAGGCTGCGGATGTGCGGGTGGCGGGAGCGGCAGAGGGCATCCCGGAATCGGCAGTCGGGGGGCTGATTTCGTGTTAGAAGCTTGCCCCCCTCCCTCCGCCATGGGCTTGACCATAGGCCATGTGCGCGGGTGGGGGGCCTCCTCCTCCTCCTCCTCCTCCTCCTCCTCCTCCTCCTTCCTCTCCTACTCCTCATCCTTCTCCTCCTCCTGTCCGCCAGAAATTTGTATATACTATGCCTAGGGTCCGCCAAAATCTCTAGGGCTTGGGCGGGCCCGAGATCCGACGCGCCCTCTAAGCTGCCCCTCTTTTGATGCCTGGCCCTTGTCATGCGTCGCGTGTTCTTGCAACGCCGAGATCGCGCTGGCCATGGCCCCAGGGGATACCACGGGACTCCGAGCGGTCGTCGAGCAGGGTTGCGGGAGAGGGTGTCGCAGGCCCTCCTGGGTTTGGTATGAGTATACAGAATACCCCTCCTGAAGGGTGGTTTTTGTTTGCCAAAACTGTTCCCAGGGGGGTGCGACCTGACTCTGTCGGGGTGCCCGCGCCAGCCCCGTCCGGCCGCCGTATGGAAGCGCCCCAAGAAATTCGAACGACGTGGGCGTTGTCGCACTGCAGAGTTGGCAGTTTACTGATGACAATTCCTGGTCGGGCTCCGCAGAGTCGCTCCCTCTGGAAACCTTCGGGGCATTTTCTTGGAACATGACTCGCCGCCCCGGCCGCCTCTTCGGCCGGATCCGGCGGTTTTGATGTTTCAAGTTTGGTTCTGAGTTTATTGCGTTTCATGATTGGGTGGCATTGACGTGCAGCCCGCTACCGCGAAGGTGCACGAAGGAGAAAGAAAAGGCGGAAGAGGAGGAGGAGCAGTAGCAGCAGGAGGAGGAGGATGAAGGAGGTGGAATGAAGAGGAGGAGGAGGAGGAGGAGGAGGAGAAGGACGAGGGAGAGGTGGAGGAGCAGCAGGGAGGAATCACGGAAGAGGTTTGGGCTCGCAGTTTGGCGGGCCCAGGTCATGCCGATGTGCGGCTTCACGCGCGACCAGTGGCCTGGCGCATGCAACCTGAACCTATACGAGGACTGAAGACGGGTTGCAGAAGTACGTAGCGCAACGTTCGCCGCCGACGATCGAGGAACGAAGATTTCGGGTGGGTCGGGTCGGGTTTGGGGACCGAGCTTCTCGAAGGTTAGTTCGCTCTCGTTGAGGACTTTGGGACACTCCTCGTTGCCACGGCTGGACTCCCCTTGGAGCTCGTGACGCTCCGCGGAAGCCCACCAGAGGACTGCAGCGACGGGCTGCACAAGTGCTACAATTGTCGTCGTTTTGTCGGTCGAGGATCGAGAAGGTCGGGCAGTTCGGGCAGTGTTTGGAGGGACCAAGGTTCTCGAAGGTCCTTTCGCCTTTTCCGGGGGGCCTTGGGTTACTCCTCGTTGCCACGGCTGGATTTCCCTCGAAGTTCTCTGCGCTCCGCGCAAGCCCACCGGAGGACTGCAGACGGGCTGCAAAAGTGCTACAGTTGTCGTCCTTGTCGGTCGAGTGTCGAGGGTGTCGGGCGGTTCGGGCAGTGTTTTGGGACCGAGGTCCTCGAAGGTTCTTTTCGCCTTTTCGGGGGTCCTTGGTTTACTCTTAAGTCGGGCGTGTCCCTCTACAGGGGGGAATATTCAACAATAGTCAAAGATAGTCAGGGTACGATGATTTTACTATGTTTGCCCATTAGGGGGGTATTTTGTTGAGTGCTCTTTTGTTTTTCGCCCAAAATTCCCCCTGTAGGAGGACACGCCCGACTTAAGGTTACTCCTCGTTGCCACGGCTGGATTTTCCTCGAAGTTCTCGGCGCTCAGCGCATCCCCACCAAAGGACTGCAGACGGGCTGCAGAAGGGGCGGGTCGACGATGGGAGATAAAGGTGTTTCTGGGCAGGTCGGGTCGTGTTTCGGGATCGAGATTCTTGAGGAAGGCGCTGGCATTGGGACTAGTTTTAAGTCGGGCCTGTCCCCCTACAGGAGGAATGGTCAAACATAGTCCATCAATAGCCCGGAGATGTTTTGGGGGTGTTGTACTACATTTGGCCATTTTTTTATTCATTCATATGTATATATACACACAATTTGCCATTCCTTGCCCAAAACACGCCTGCAGGGGGACATGCCCGACCTAAGACTACTTTGGGACCAGGAGGGGCCCTGGTTCTCGGGGCCGTTCTCTCCAGGTGCAGCCTGTACATCGCGTGGGTCTCGGGAAGTCCACTCGTGGCCGAGCCGCGCCGTGGTCAGAACAGACGGTTGGCTCCTGACTCTGGGCTCGTTACCGCAATGCGATCTGTTGTTTATGTGTTGTTTTGCCGATCGGCGCGGGCCCTCGCACCCACCCCTCCTCCCCCCCACCCCCCTTGAGTGGATCTTGGCTGTTTCTGGCGCCTGCCTCGAGCAGGTGGAGCCCCTCCCCCCTAGGACGCACTTTCGTAAACAGTCGCACCAAGCAGAGGTCCGGCGCCAGACCCCCCCCCTTTCCGCCCAATGTCGAAGTGCCGAATAAAAACACGCTCACCTTCTTACCGTGATGCGATGACGTGTTTCTCCTTGCTGGGGCTTCTGGGCCTTTCCTCGCTCGAATGTCTTGACGCTCCGCATATTCCCTCCAGCCCATTCAGATACGATGCCCAGGGGAGTTGCATCGATCGTGTAAGTGTGGGAGCAAGCAGAGGGACGAAGAGGGACGTCAGCCGTCAAGCGAAAGCTCGGGATCAGCCTGAGCAGACCCCGGGGTCAACCATACACGCTCGATCGGATCTTTCGATATGCAAGCCTGCTTGCAGCTGCAATGAGGGCCACATGCAATGCTGAATGCTTTCGGGCTCTACTGGGACCCTCTTTGGGGCCATCTTGGAGGCCATTGGTCAAATCATGGAGGGATTGGAAGGGTTCTGCCCCGAAGGGGAAGAGGGGGGTTGGAATAACGAGTTCGCCAAAGCACCTACGTACGCCCTAAAGGACTGGTGGGGTTCTGGCAAAAACGCACCGCAAGACAAGTCCATGGCTTGATGGTGACTGTCGCTATGAAGGACAAGGGGTTCTTGTTTGGAGTTCGTGGGTGGTAGGGGGATATAGTGGCATGTCATTACATCGAGGGTGTCATTGCTTTTGCATTGGGGCAGGTCTTGACTGGAGATTTTGCCTTTCGTCCGTCGTTTGCGGTCGGGGAGTAGCTTCATTCATTCAACTGGCCGAGTGCAGAACATCTTTCGCGTCGCGTGCGCATTTATAGCTAAGGCATGATGTGGCCTTTCAGTGTTGTGCAAGAACGCCCTGCTCCGCAAAAGGAGGCGATCAGTTAGCACCACCAGCGGGGTCTGGTTGGGCGGCCTGTCTGCCACCCTTGGGGAGACGCAGCGAGATAGGGGCAGGGGGAATGATGAGGAGGAGCAGTTGGAGAAGGAGGAGGAGGAGGAGGAGGAGTTGGATGAAACTGATCGGGGGGGTGAACACGGATGCGGAGGAGGAGGAAGATGAGGTGGAGAACGAGGAGGAGGAGAAGAAGGAGGAGAAGGAGGAGGAGGAAGGGGAGAAGTAAGAGAAAGATGAGGAAGAGGAACAATTCGAGGAGGCGGGGAAGATCGACACAGGCCGGCCACAGTTGGAGTTGCGCTCCACACATGGGCTTCTGACAGCTCCTCTCGAGGCAACGCCGACACAGCTTCTCCCAACTCGGGTGTCCAGACCACCCAACCCCTCCTGGCGTCGGAGAAACACATTACGTACAGCCAAGAAGCTGAGATAAGGACCGCTTTGGGTTCGGAAGGGGGCTCGCTGTTCCTCAGATCATTCCGTGATTGTTCCTCCTGGCACTCGTCGTATGTTTTGGCATTTCTGGCGCCAAGGGGCTTCGTTCCTTACTTGGCGTTCTTCGTTGTGTCCAGCAGCCCGACGGAAAGTGATGCTGCTGCGACGTGTCTGCCTCCGGGGGGCCTCACCAGGCCCTGGGACCACCAAACAACTTCTCGGGACGGCAGGGCGGGCCCCCCCGAAGGGGCCCGGACCTCTCGGCGCCCGCGTCGTGTACACAAAAAACATGACGTCGATCGGGGTCTGGGCCTTTGTGATCTCAGGAGGGGAAAAAACACACAGACACAATTAATCGTCGATCCCCAGGAAAATATAGGAAAATATGGGAAGTGGGGGGGGGAGACAAAAACCCAGAAAATATGAGACAATATGGGGATTTTGTTTATTTGTGTGTATTGATTTCTGTGTCCTGGGGCCCTTCTGGTCTAGGCCTCCTAGGTGGGCTTCGGGCAGACGGGGTCGGAGGATCGCGCCGCATCGCCGATGTACCGCCAATTCGGCTCGATGTGCAGCCCGATTTGCTTCACGTCGGCGTCGCCGATGCATCGCCTACGTCTACGATGCGTCGACGGTGCATCCCCGATGCATCGCCGATGCATCGGTGGTGCTGCGCGATCCTCCGACCCAATTTACGCCGACCCCATCTAGGAGGCCTCTACTTCCGAGGGCAGGTCGAGGCTGAGGATACGTCACCCCAGAGCGCTCCGCCAGCATCACGGAGTGCCGAGCGTTTTGAAACGATCTGGAATGGCCGCCTCGCCCGATGCATCCTCCAGACGTGCTTGTACTCAGAGAGTCAGAGCACCGATTCTGCTTCCGACTCGGGCACCTTGGCAGGCGGTGGAGATGGATATGTTTGGCCGTCCCAAGGCACGGATATTCATATCCGGTGCCTGCCGAGGTCCCCGAATATTGATCCCCCAGGCAGTGGTTATGGATACGTCCCCGCCTTTCGCATTTATCCCCCCGGCCAAGGTCGTGCAAGCAGGCCAGGCAGCCAAGGTCCCCCCATTAGTGAACGCCCGAGGCGCGCATCAGGATCCCCAAGTGGCGGCGGCATCTTGTAGGTGTCGGGAGATGGGCACGGCGCCTCCATCGGTCCATCGGTAGACTACCGATGTTCACCGAGGGCCAAAGGCGTCCAAAAGCCTCGGTTCTCGATCCGCCACCTCATTCCTCTCCGAGGAGGAGGAGGAGGAGGCGGAGGAAGAGGAGAAGGAGGAGAAGGAGAAGGAGTAGGGGGAGGAGGAGCAAATGGAGGAGAAACAGGGAGGAAGAGGTGGTGGAGGAGGAGGAGCAGGAGGAGGATGAGGATGAGGACCAGTGTAAACCCACGAGTCATCAACGATTTTAGAAAACAAAAAACCCTCCAAGCTCCCTCTTCATAGGAAAAGCACGCCAGTGGATGACCCTGTAATTGAAAAGGGTGTGTGTGCTCGCAAAACCCCCCCCGCCTCCCCCCCTTACGGGGGGGGGGTCCTCCCCCCCCCTCCCCCCCACCCATTGAAATGTGGGGCGGGGTCCGCCCCCCCCTCCCCGCTTGACGCTGGAGGGAGGGGGGGGGAGGAGGTTCGACCCCACCCCCCCCCGTCCCCCCCTTTGCGCCGAACAGGGGGCCTGGGAGGGCGCTTCTCCCACAGGGGGGGGTCTGGCCTCGAGATAGCGAGTAGTGACTAGAGACTAGTGAGTAGTTAGTGGGGAGTAGTGAGTAGTGAGTAGTGAGAGGATAGTAGCGAGTAGTGAGGGCTGAGTAGTGAGTAGTGAGCAAGGAGTAGTGCGCAGTGAGTAGTGAGTAGTGAGTCGTGAGTAGTGAGTAGTGTGTAGCGGGGTGTGAGTAGTGAGGAGCGAGCAGGGAGTAGCGAGTAGTGACTAGTGAGTAGCGAGTAGGGCGTTGTGAGTAGTGAGTGATGAGGAGGGAGTAGTCATTAGTGAGTGGGGAGTAGTGAGTAGCGCGTAGGGAGTAGCGAATAGTGATTCGTGGGTAATGAGTATTGATTAGTGGGTGGTGGCAAGTGGGGAATGGGTAGTGAGTAGTGAGTAGCGAGGGGGGGGTAGCGAGTAGTAAATAGTGAGTAGCGAATAGGGCGTTGTGAGTAGTGAGTAGTGAGGAGGGAGTAGTCAGTAGTGAGTAGGTAGTAGTGAGTAGCGAGTAGGGAGTAGCGGGTACTGAGTTGTGTGTAGGGAGTAGTGATTCGTGAATAGTGAGAAGTCGGTATTGAGTAGTGGGTAGCCCGCAGGGAGTAGCGAGTAGAGAGTAGTGAAGAGTAAGTCGTGGGTAGTGAGTGATGAGTAGTGAAGAGTGAGTAGTTAGTGGTGGCGTGCGACATGTGACTAGTGAGTAGGCAGTAGTGAGTCTTGAGTAGTGAGTAGTGCGTAATGGGTGGTGAATGATGGGGGCGAGTAGGAAGTAGCGAGTAGTGAGGAGTGGTTAGTGAGCAGTGAGTATTGTGTAAAGTGAAAGGAGTAGCGAGCAGCGGATAGTGAGTAGTGAGTTGTGGGCAGTGAGTAGTAAGTGGTAAATTGTGAATAGTCGGTGGTGAGTAGTGGATAGTGGGTAGTGGGTAGTGAATAGTGGGTAAGGAGTAGTGAGCAGTGGGTGGTGATTAGTGTTTTGTGAGTAGTGAGTATCGAGTAGTTGGTAGGGAATAGTGAGTATTGAGTAGCGAGTTGGGGGTACTGAGTAGTGAGTAGTGAGTAGTGAGTAGTGGGTAGTGGATAGTCAGTAGTGGGTAGTGAGTAGTGAATCGTGAGTAGTGAGCAGTGAGTAGTGAGAAGTGGGTCGTGAGTAGTGGGTAGTGAGTAGTGAGTATTGAGTAATGAATAATGAGTACTGGATACTGTTTGGGCCTAGGGTTGCGGTTTTGATTTGGGGTTACGGGTGGTCCGGGTGGTAGCGTTCGGGGTGGTAGGGTTCGGGCTCCGCCGTGTCGAAAGGGGGGGGGGGCTTCGAATTTGGCGGCCAAGGGGGGAGGGGGAGGGGTCGGACCCCTTGCCCTTTTGAAAGGGGGTGGGGGTTCCCGGCGACGGACCGGGAAAGGAGGGGGGGTCCCCGATGACGGACTGGGAAAGGGGAGAAGGAGGGGGTCCCCGACGACCGATCAGGGAAAGGGGGGGGGGGTCCCCCCCCCCCCCCCCTGGGGCCATCCAGCGGCGCGCCTTCCTTCATAGGCCTCCCCTAGGGTTCATTTCCACAGCGAAGTGCCTCGTTGGAAGACAACCGTTTGAATACACGGAAGCATGCCAAAACATTGTTCTCGGGATTTCAACGCCACGGATCAACCTGACTGTTGCGTCTTGGCGATCCTGAATCCTGTGGGCAGTGAGTAGTAAGTGGTAAATTGTGAATAGTCGGTGGTGAGTAGTGGATAGTGGGTAGTGGGTAGTGAGTAGTGAATACGGAGTAGTGAGCAGTGGGTGGTGATTAGTGTTTTGTGAGTAGTGAGTATCGAGTAGTTGGTAGGGAATAGTGAGTATTGAGTAGCGAGTTAGGAGTAGTGAGTAGTGAGTAGTGGGTAGTGGATAGTGAGTAGTGGGTAGTGAGTAGTGAATCGTGAGTAGTGAGCAGTGAGTAGTGAGAAGTGAGTCGTGAGTAGTGGGTAGTGAGTAGTGAGTATTGAGTAATGAATAATGCGTACTGGGCACTGTTTGGGCCTAGGGTTGCGGTTTGGATTTAGGGTTACGGGTGGTCCGGGTGGTAGCGTTCGGGGTGGTAGGGTTCGGGCTCCGCCGTGTCGAAAGGGGGGGGGGCTTCGAATTTGGCGGCCAAGGGGGGAGGGGGAGGGGTCGGACCCCTTGCCCTTTTGAAAGGGGGTGGGGGTCCCTGGCGACGGACCGGGAAAGGAGGGGGGGTCCCCGATGACGGACTGGGAAAGGGGAGAAGGAGGGGGTCCCCGACGACCGATCAGGGAAAGGGGGGGGGTCCCCCCCCCCACTGGGGCCATCCAGCGGCACGCCTTCCTTCATAGGCCTCCCCTAGGGTTCATTTCCACAGCGAAGTGCCTCGTTGGAAGACAACCGTTTGAAGACACGGAAGCATGCCAAAACATTGTTCTCGGGATTTCAACGCCAAGGATCAATTTGACTGTTGCGTCTTGGCGATCCTGAATCTTGCCAGAAAGCCATTCCTTGGACGTCAACGCTGCGAACCAACGTATCCGTTGCACCCTCATAATCCTGAATCCTTCGAAAACATTATTTCTGGTACTTTGCTCATGGGATTCCGCGAAGCCCTTGCAAGTTTTCAAAAACGAATGTGCGCGGCGCTAAAGCAAGAGCCACGGTTTGAAAAGGATCCGCCCTCAATCGGTGAAGTTTTTGTCAATGTGTACAACAAATGTGCGCGGCGCTGGAGGCGAGAGCCACACTTTGAGAACGGGTGGCCCTCAAAATGTGGTGCTCTTATTATATCTCTCTATATACATATTAAACGAATGCGCCCGGCGCTGAGGCAAGAACCACATTTTGTACAAGAACGCCCTCAATCCGTGACTCTCTTGCGAATTTCGACAAGGATGCGCGCGGCGCTATGGCGAGAGCAACATTTTGAAAACGGGTGGCCCTCAATCGTGAGACTCTTGCAAATCTTAAACGGATGTGCGCGGCGCGAAGGCGAGAGCCACAGTTTGAAACCCACCCGCCCTCCATCTGTGAAAATGCTGCCATCGTTTAAGCTTCAGTGTCATACATGGTGAGGAAGTCTCAGGCGAAACGCCTGGCCCACCCTAAAAATTGGCTCCGGTGTGCGACAGGGAGAAGTTGTTTATCAGGAGAAGGAATGGAGCAGGAGGAGGAGGAGGAAGAGGTGGAAGAGGAGGAGGAGGAAGAGGAGGAGGAGGAGAAGGAGGAGGAGGAAAAGGACTTTCCTCCACCCCTCTCCGTGCGAGGACGGCGGGATGTCTGTCGGGTGGCACGCCGACGACGAGCGCCTGTTTCAGGCGCCCCCCCCATCGTTTCTCTGCCTCCAGGGTCGTGGCGGTTCGAGGATCGAGGCTCGAGGATCGAGGCTCGAGGCTCGAGGGTCGAGGCTCGAGGCTCGAGGCTCGAGGCTCGAGGCTCGAGGTTCGAGGATCGAGGCTCGAGGCTCGACGGCAGCGACGGCAGCGACGACGGCCGCGGCGGCGGGTCGGCGGTTTTCCAGCCTCGGGATGGTTGCCAGCAGCTGCGCCTCTCCGCGGGCGTTCCGGGGTTGCCCGGATCGTCCCGAGCGGCCGCCGGAGACCCCGGTCATGACCCCAAGACCAAGTTCGACGGCGAGCGAGGGGGGGAGTCGACTACGCGTAAGCGTGACCCTTCGCCGGAGTGACCGTTGCTGCGGGCCCATTGGGGTCCCCCCATTTGCCGAAAACCGTGCGATAGTAGCGTCTTGCGCGCTTGTGTTTGGTCCCCCGCGGCCCCTCAAAAGCCGCGCACCAAAGGTCACTCTTACCCCGGGTCACTCTTGCGTGTAGCCGAGGAAATAAGAAGGGGAAGGCCTTCTCAGAAGGCGGCGGGGCTTCTCAGAAGCGCTCGCGCCCTCTGGGAAGTGTTTTGTTTCTTCGGGGAGACTCAGAAAGCTTTTCAGAAGGCCAGGGGTCTTCCGAGCCTTTTGAGAAGGCCTTCTCCTTCTCACTTCCCCCCCTCGCTCGCCGCCGAAATGTGTGTGAGTGTTTATATTGTGTAGATCCACCAAGCGATCATTCTATCGCCTGCCTGTGTCGTATGGAAGCGCCTCGAAGAACCAGCACACGTTGGCGCTAAGACAGGACACGTTCTCAGGACCATCGATCCACACAAGCTTCAGAGGGTCTAACAATTCCTTACGGTTTTGGGGGTATCTGTGAACGAAATCTGGACGGAAGGGTGCAGGGGGTGGTCGAAATCTGGACGACGTCCGGTCGGAATGACGGTCATGATAGGGCCGCCGAGGTCCATTGAGGCTCCAATGCGTCAGGAGGAAAAAAAAACACACAGTATTTGATATTCGTTGACTCCCCAAGAAGATATGGACACCATGGGAAGTTGAGGGGTAAGACGAACCTCCAGGAAATGTTGAAAATAGGGTGAATCCGGGATTTGCGTGCATTTATGTTTGTGTCTTTGAGCCCCTTGACTGAATGCACACCCGACCTCCCCGCCCAGCGCTAGACACCCATATCGGGCATTCAAAACATATGGAAGATTTTGGGCAGTGTTCGGCCTCCAGGGGGCCCTTGCCAGGCTCCCTGGAGGCCGTCAGAACGCGTCTCGGGAGGATGCGCTGGCCCGGGCGGGGGTAAGGAGGAGGACCCAGATCCCCGACGTCACGATTTTTTTTGCACGTGGCCCCAGAGAGGTCAAGACATCTTCTGCTACGCCCCGGCGTGGTTTGCGATCGGCACCGTCGGGGCCTGGGGGGGCACGACACGGTCCTCGTCGGGCCTCCTCGGGGCGCGGCGGAGAGCTCTGTCGAGGTCCCCGCTCGTCCCCCAGGGTGCCCCCCAGGGTGCCGGTTGCAAACCACACCCTCTGCAAACCACACCCTTCGGAGTCGCCGAGATGGGTCGGGAGCTTTGGGGCCGCGGATGGCAAGAGTCGGGTCGGAGGACGCCGGGGCCCGCGGGCACTGGCCTGCGGAGAGCCGCGCGGGTTCTCTCGGATCGGCGTTTGACCCCTTGGGCTGCGACGCGCATGTGTAGAATCGGGTATGGCCAGGACCCCGGGTCGTCGTCTGCCTGCTTCTCCCCTCCTCGTCCCCTTCCGCCGGACAGCACAGCCTGCCCGGAACCAGCGTGGCGGCATATAGGAGCCTGACGCTGAGGGCTCGAGAGGCGAGCCTCGCCTCGGGCCTGCTGCGCTTTGTCTTTGATGGACCCCGGGTTTGGGGACCCGGTTAGTGGTAGGGCCCCGGAGCCTTCGAATTGGCCAGAATCACTAAACCAGGTTTGCCACAGCTGGTGGTTTTTGTTCGGGTGACGGCAGTTCCAGTGAGTGAAAGTGGGACGGGGGGGCGCCCCCGGTACAGATCACTAAACCAAATTCCACTAAACCCAGGTCTACCAACGCCCGATAGAAGCCATCTGCTTTTCGTCAGGATGCCTCAGGTTTTACGCCGCGCGTTGTGCGGTGACCTCCCGCGGGCGTTGAGGAGCTGCTTTCGGGGTGCCTTTCCGTGTTTTCCCCACACATGCACCTTGCACGGAGGTCCTCAGGTCCGGGTTCGTGCGGCCGCGTCCGCATTGTGTGGCGTGCTTTGTTTATCTGGCATCCGCGATGTGGCGCGATCCCCATGTGCTCGGACCCCATTTGGGAGGCCTCCAGCTCATGCCTCATCCCTCTTCCAGAGAGTCTGGGTCGACTCGTCATTATTCATCGGAGCTGTGCTGCGCTGGCTTCCCGTCCTTGGCGCGCGTGAGTAATTGCGTGAACTGAAGGCACCACACAGAAGACATCGGCCTGGCAGCAGGTGCCCCATGGAAATGTCGTATCCCCCGACGGCTCCACAGGAGCCTTGGGGCACCTCAGAACGCGCTGTGATCGACGCAGAAAGTGCCCCCAAGATTTCTGACAGCACGACTTCTGATTGCATGTGTCCGTTGCGCTTACAGGCCCGGTGCTTCATCGGCCTCGCAGTTCAAAAAACGCTCCCTCCTCTTTCAGAGATTCCACCTCCGAATCTTCTGTTCTGCTTGCGAGATCCAGAGTCGGGAAGTGCTCCCAGTTGTCCTGGGGGGCATCAGGTATTATTTCAGATGAGGGTGAGATTGACGGATGGGGAGGAGGAGGATGAAGAGGATATTGAAGTGGAGGAAGAGGAGAAGGAGGTGGAGGGATGAATAGGAGGAGGCGGAGGAGGAGGACAGCACGAGGAGGGGGAAGAGAAGGAGGCGGAGAGTAGGACGTGAGGAGGGGCGGGGAAGCCAGGAAACGGAGGAGGATGCGGAGAGAAGGAGGGGTGCCGCTGCACGGTTGCCGCGGCCGCCAGGGGCGACACAGGGACTGCCAGATTGTGTCGCTGTCACTTGGCGCGAGGAGGACGTTCGAGCTGCGTCTGAACTTCCCCGAGGAAGTTCCCATCCCCCCTCCCCTTCAGCATCGTCTAACCTCTGATGAGGATAAGGTACCCATACTGCTACCCCCCACCCCTCGTCCCCTTGTTTTCGCCTTTTGGGGCCTCCTGGGAGGAGGCCTTAGTCGCCACCGCTGGATTCGCTTCGAAATTCTGGTAAGACCGCACCCCTGGGGGAGATCCGGGGAGCAGAGGTATCGGTACGATTTGGTTTCTTCATCGTGTAACTGATCCCCCATCCCTCTCAGGCCATGGTAACTCAGACCCACCTGGCCCGCCAGGTCGGAACGGGCCCCGCGAAACCCGCATGGAACGGGTTATGCTTCCACCCAGGTGGGCAGGTCGGCCAGTGGGACCAAAGCCAAAGTCAGTGTGGACAGGGGTCGGTTGAACGATGCCCACTCCCTCGACGTCGTGATTGCTTCAGGGCGGGCGCGTTCCCCCTTCTTCCCGCCCTCGCTCAAAAAACATCGCCCTCCAGGGGGCCCGTGTGGGGTCCTGGGACCGCCAACCGTCTATCCGGAGTGAGAAACCAGCCCCCGCGAGGGGGGGGGGGGGGG